ATCTGACTGGATGATCTGGTGAACTTTAAAGTGCCTTCAGATGACATGTTGTGAATTGGCGCTATAGAAATAAACTGAAATGAATTGAAACAAGAAAATGAACACGAGGCAGAGAGTAGAGGTAGCTGATGACTGTCTTCCTGTTAGATGTTTTGCATTCTTTTTGTTTGTTTTCTATTAGTATAAGTCTATAGTTAATCCCTTCCTGCTATCATCGCAGACCCAACCCCTTTACAGGAGAGCAGAAGACCTCACCTGTTCAGCCAGGCCAACAATTCCCTCTAACGACCCCCCTTTCAGAGACATAGACAGGTATGGGGCATTGCAGGCTAACAAAGAAGCCAAACGACCCCCATTCCAAAGGGGGGGACCCGTTCATCCGTTTCTATTTGCATGTTTTCTAAACTAAAACCAGGCTTTGTTGGGCTGCTGGATAAAAGCTGGAACTAAACGCTATTTCTGACATTTTGAATTGAAAAAGCTTCCTGGAAGGAAGAGAAACGTCTTCAAACTTCGAAAAAAAAGTCGAGTGGATAGTTTTTTTCACTTTTTTTTGGTATTAGTATAAAAATAAAATGCTCAAAATGTCATTTATTTGTTTTATAATATATTTCTTCACGCCTGATTGAAATCAGGGGTCACCAGCTTGGTAGCATCAGGCCTCTAAAAAACAGGACAGCTCACCAATGAGCTGCATCGTAAAGTTTATTTCATTACGTTCCTCCTCTTTTTCAATGGTATTTAAATTTATAGAACTTTGTTAAAAGCTTCCACTAGTAGAAACAACAAAAATAAGTTTATTATAAATTAAGTTTAAGTGAACGCTGATTATTTTATCACATTACATTTATTATTAATTGATAAATTGTCCTAATTTGGGTTCAACTATTAGAAAATTAGTTATTTTTTAGTTATTATTATAACTTAATATTTTATTTTTATATTATTAATGATAAGGTTTATATTTTCTTATTAGTTATTGGTGGATATATAATGTAATTTAATGTCTTTTTTAATAATTTAATGTGTTTATAAAACATTTTAGTCAGACTGAATAACTATTTCTACTTATTTCTATTTTAAATTAAATTATTTCCAGGTTTATAATCATTTTTTTATCTCTATATATATTTGTAATCGCTGTGACTGATGCTCGTACCGTTTGAGGCGATCCTGCGTCGCCATCAGCTGCTCCTCCACTGCCAGCCGCTGCTGAGTCTCTTCTTCTAATCTGATGCACAGAAAACAAACTTTGGCATCTATTCTGTTATTTAATGCTTTTTATTTCCTGGATAATGCCGTTTCAAAAGTACCTTCGCTGTAACTCCACGACCTCGGCTTTAGAGGAATGGCTGACGGACAGATTGCTTCGCTCCTGTGGAGCCCCAGGAGGACTGTCTCCTTCCTCTATGCCCTGCAGACGTAAAATCGTACAATCATCATCATCATTTATTAAATCAAATATTCCTTCCTGCTGTGTGGAACAGCGGTGGATGAACGAAGGCCTACTTGTCTCTGCAGCTGCTCTCGTTTGAGCTTGGGCTTCTGGACTCGAGCTTCCTCCAGCATGGCGGTGAGCTGCCGCAGCTGCAGGTCTTTCTCTGAGAGCGTGGTGAGCGTCTGCTGCTTCAGCTGCTCTGCCTGAGCCATCCAGTCCATCCTCTCCAGCCTAAACACACAACAGGTCAACGGACTGAAGATGCTAACTTTACCTCTTGGCTAAACAAAGGAAGATCTCATGGAGAAGAGGAACCTGAGGGACTCTGCTTCTTGCTTTCTTATCTCCATCATGTTCTCCAGCTGCGTCATGGCCTCCAGCATGTCCTCGCTCTTCTTCTTCTCCTCCAGCAGCTCCTGGCTGACTTTAATCAGCTCTCCCGCTCCCAGCCGAGCCAGCTCTAACTTCTGCCTCTGCAGCTCGGCCGCCTGCGCGTTCAGCTGCTCCAGCTGCACATAAACAGAGTGAAGGGAAGCCATCATTAGCTGCGCTGCTCCTCATGATCAGAAGTAGCTCTACAGCAGTTATCCGCTCACCAGTCTGTCCCTGTCGTTCTGCAGGGCTTGCAGGGCGTTCTTCAGGCCCCACACCTCCCCCTTTGAGCCTGCAGGGCCACTGCGTGCCGCGGGGCCTCCCGCCTTGCTCATCTCCTCCAGCTTGGCGCTCAGCTCCCTGACCTTGTTCACCGCCTCATCTCTGGTCTCCTGCAGGGAGGCCATGGCCTTGGCGAAGGCCTGGTTCTCGGCTCTCAGCTGCTTGGTGGTGTCCGTCTCCTCCAGCAGCCTCTGCTCCACGATCAGCAGGTCTCGGGCCAGCTCTGCCACCCTCTCCTGAGCGCTCTCCGACTCCGTCCGCATCACGCCTCCCTCCCAACGCAGTTCGGCTAGCTCTCTGCTTTCGCTCTCATGCTCTTGCTGCTCCGTGAGGAGTCGCTCCTCCAGAGCCTCGGCCCGGGCTCTCTCCGCCTGCAGCTGTTCCCTCAGCTTCTCCACTTCAGCTCCAGGTGCATCCATCACCTGTGAGGCTGCTACGACGTCAGAGGCCTGACTAACCGTCTCAGTCTCTACTTTTCTAATCTCTCCCTCTCTTGCTTTGCTCATGACCCTCAGCTGAGATTCCAGCTCTTCGCGTTCCCTCTCCAAAGACGCGATCTGCTCTCGCTGAGCTGCCAGGAGTTGTTTGTGCTGCGAGTCCTTCATGCTTAAAACTTGGTTGAGTTCATCTCGGTAGCCGTGAAGCTGAGCGGACAGCTTGGCCTGTTCGGCGTTCATGTCGTCTCTCTGGGCCAGCAGAGAGCGAAGCTCTTCCTTCAGGCTGTTGTTTTCTCCTGCAGCCTCCTGGATCAAACCATCCTTCTCCAACATCACCTAAAAGACAGCACAGGTAATAAATATGAGACTAAAGCAAGCGCTGCAGGGAAGTTTCTTCCTGACTTTGTCATTTTCTGTTCTCAAGACACCATTTAATCAGTTTGGCTGAAAAAAAAACCTTGGTAATTATTTTATTTTTTGCTAAATGAGCCCAAATTGGGAAACTTAAAACAACAATTTTTATTATGTTTAACAAAAAAAGCACAGCTCTGTTGGATTATGTCACAAATGCAAATAACATCCATTTAAATAAAGTAACTCTCCTGATCTTTACAGCAACAAATCAATGATTCCTTAATTTATATTATAAATTATATTAAAATAACTTTCTAAATAATTAGGAAAACCTAATCAAACCCCTTTCTAACGCTGCCCTGGATAGCTGCCATTTCCAGACCATAAACAGCCACGGATTTCAACGTTTACCAACAGTTCACTGCTAGAAAATGGATAAAACCAAACATTTTATAGATTTATTGTATTTTTCTCCAAAAATAAACATTTTTGTTTTAGCAATCAAACATCTTTAAATTCTGGTGATGAGCTCCATGTTTAAGAGCACTGCAAACTCTTTACTAGGAGAACATTTTTAAATACTTGTGCAGCTAAGTAGGAGAGTTTTCCAGTGAAATAAGATGATTTACATTCAAAATAAGAAAAATAAACACCATCCATATCATGTTTCAAATGCATTAAATCTAATTATTGTATTTAAAGGGCAAAAATACTCTATTCCCATATCATCTTATTTACCTGCTTAAATTAAGGGTGACTTAATCAGTTTATCTTTGTTTATTTCCAAGAAATCCAAAGAAAAATCTAAATTTAAAATTCTTATTTAAGCCTGAATCAAGCAAGAGTACATCTATTCTCCTGTTCACTGCAAAAACACTCTAGAAACAAGTAAAATTAACCTTAAATTAAGTGTATTTACCCCTAATTTGAGAAGTTAAATAGTTAAGTATTTTTACTCTTCAAATAAGATATTTAGATATATGTACTGGAAATAGTGCTACAAGTTTTTTTTCTTATTTTAAATGTAAATTGTCTTTTTCCATTGGCAAAGAGTCTCACTTACCTCCTCAATATAAGAAAAAAATGCACTTATTTTAAGAAAAAATGACTTATTTAGATTTATATTTTTTGCAGTGTTGCTCACTGGAAACACGATCTAGAAATAAGTAAAAATGTATTAAATTAAGTGTATTTACCCTTAATTTGAGCAGGTAAATGAGATAGTTTGCCAATGGAATGAGTATTTTTACTCTTATGATAAAATAATTAGATAACATGCACTTGAAATAAGACAATTGAATTGTGTTTTCTTATTTTAAATGTAAATTGTCTTGTTTCATTGACATGTTTCTTTTACCTCCTCAATCCAAGAACAAATGCAGTTATTTTAAGAAAAAATGACTTATCTAGATTTTGAATTTTTCCAGTATTCAGTCCTATTAAGAACTCCTTTGTTTCGGTGAATTAGATCTACCTGTAGGTGTTTCTCCTCCAGCTGTTTGTACATGTTGAGCACCCGGTCTCTGTCGTCCTGCAAGGAGCCCATGGCCTTGGTGAAGGAGTCCAGTTTGGCCTTCCAGGTGCTGCTCTCCTCCTCTGCTTTCCGTACTTTCTCTTCCAGATCTCTCACTTCTCCTCTTCTCTGCTGCAGCTCCGTCTCAGCATCTCGTGCCCTGCCGTCAGCCTCTTTCCGGGCCTCCTCTGCTGCCTTGGGGGTAAATTACACACAGAAACAGGATTTAAAAAGGGGACGTGCAGTTAAGGCTTCGATGGGCGGATTTAATATGATATAAACCTGAGTGACGGCTTGCTCCTTTTCCCCCAGCAGCTCCACTTCTCTCCTTTCCTTCTCCTGTAACTCTGACTGTAAGCTCTCAGTCAGAACCTTGGAGGAACGCAGGTCCGTCTCCAGCTGCTCCACGTTCAGACACAGGCGCCTCTCTTCGGCCTCCCGTTCCCTCAGCTCGGCTCTGGCTCGGTCCACTTCTCCTGTCAGTTTCCCGACGGCCTCCTCCAGAGCCCGGGCTCTCTGACCCAGACTCTCCAGCTCGTTTTTGAGGCTGCTGGCTTCGCTCTGAGCAGAAGCCAGCTCTGAAGTGGTTTGCTGGAGTTTAGCTCTTTCCTGCTCCACGATACTTTGATGTTCTATCACCTTCTTTTCTTCTTCTTCCAATCTCTGCTGGCAATCCTGTTCTGCTTTCTGTAATCTAAGGATGAGAAATATTTTTAATTTGTGTCTGGAGTTCTAGGAAGACAAATCTAAAGAAAGCCTTTTTACCTTTTTACTGTTTGTCCCAGCTCCTCTTTCAGCGCTGTCTCTTTCTGAAGCTGGTCGGCCAGTTCCTTGGCCCGCGTTTCGGCCTGGCGGACCTCGGCCTCCTTCCCCTGCAGAGCGCTGTTAAAGCGGGTCTCCCACTGCCGGGTTTCATCCAGAACTCGGTCCCTGTCGTCCTGCAGGGAGGACATGCTGCGGGAGAAGGCGGCTAACCGGGCCAGGGACTCGTCCAGACGAGCTTGGCTCTCCTGAGCTCGCCTCTCTGCAGCCTCGGCCGCCTCTCTGGCTTGCAGCGTGGCTTCCTCCTCCTTCTCCCGCTCTGTGTAGGCCTCATCCAATCTGAGCTCCATCTCCTTCAGCTCAGCTCCCAGTCTGAATCTCACAGAGTCCAGAGTTTGCTCCGCCTCGGCCTTCAGCGCGGCCTCCCGCTGCTGGATGCTTTCTTCCATGGCTGTTCTTGCGGCGGCCGCCTCGCTCGCCTCTTTCTGCGCCTCAGCTAGTTGGGATTTGAAGCTCTCCAGCTCTGCTTCAGTCCTTCTCAGATCTTCTAGAGTTCTGGAGCTCTGCTGCTTTGACTGCTCCAGCTTGCCTTGGAGCTCCTCCTGGCTGAGCTGCAGGGCTTTAGCTTCTCTTCCAAGCTGGCTGATGGTCTCCTGGTACTGGATGGAGTCCCTCTGCAGCTGCCGCACCTCCAGCTGCTTCTCCCTCAGCAGCTGCTCCAGCTGCTTGGCTCGGCTCTGGCTGCCCTCTTTGACCCTCTGGGCGGACCTCAGCTGCTGCTCCAGCTCCCTCTGCTTGCCGGACTCGGCCTCTGCTTCGGCTCTCTCTCGCCTGGCCTGCCTCATGTCCTCCTCCAGCCTGGCGGCTCGGTCTCTCTCCCGCCGAACCTCTGCCTCCAGCTCAGACCGCTCCCCCAGCAGCCTCTCTGCCTCCTGCTGCATCTCGGCGAGGCGTTCCCGGTGGTCCGCTGCTTCCTGCTGGTACGTGGCGATGCTCCCGTTGAGCTGGGCAAGCTGGTTCATCAGACGCTCCTCCAGGTTGTCTTTTTCAGCTTCCAGACTTCCAAGGAGTTCTTTGAACTGGGCTTCCCTCTTCGAAGCTTCCTCAGTCAGATGTTTCTCTCTCTCCTTGCTCTCTTGAAGGTCCTTTTCTAAGGAAGCCAGAAGCGTCTCGTCAGCTTTGCTCTCCTTCAGCTCTCTCTCCAGAGAGGCCAGTTCGGTTTGCAGCTCAGCTTCCCGTTTTCGCCAAAGTTCCCTCTCTGCATTCAGACTCTCAATCTCCCTCATTTTATCCTCCAATAAACTCTGAGCTTTCTCAGGCATTTCTTCTGCCTCCTTTTCTTCCACATCCGTGCGATCGCCTGGAGGCTCTGCTGCAGTCGTGACAGCGTCCGATGTCAGCTCCGTAACGACCTCCTCTACGACAGCCGCAGAGGGCAGCGGGTCGACTTCTTTGTGTTTCTCCTCCATGTCAGAGAGTTGTTCCTTCAGCTCCTCGATCTGCCGCCTCAAAGCGTCCCTTTCTGCCGTGGCAGCTTCCAGTTCAGCCCGCAGAGCTCCGTTCTCCTCCTGAAAGCGCTCCGTTTCAGCTCTGAAGCTGCCGTCTTCTTGTTTCGAAGCGGCCCTTTCTTGCATCTCCCGGAGTCTCTCGTTCTCCTCTTCCAACTCCAGTATCTTTTGCTGCTTCGTCTTTACGAACTTTCTCATCTTGTCCTTCACAGAGTCCAGCTCTTTCTGCGCTTCCTCCACTTGTTTCTCAGACTCCTGCTTGGCGGCTTCCTGAGCTCTCACCTTGGCTGCCAGCTCCTGTCTCTCCTGCCTGGCGGCTTCCAGGACCCTCCTCACTCGCTCCGCTTCGTCGCTCACGTTCTCGTACGACTTAAGCAGAGTCTCGTACTCCTCCTTCATTCCTTGGACTTTGTCCTCCCACTCCCTACACCTCCTAGCTGCCTCCTCCTTCGCCAGCTCCCCTTCCTTCTTACAGGCGTCCTTCTCGCTGATTAAGCCGTCCATCGCCAGCTTCAGGCTCTCACATGACGACCCCAGACTTTGGTTCTCCACTAACGTCCGGTCCACCTCCTCAATCAGTCTTGCTCTCTCGCTTCTTAGATTCTCCAGCTCTTCTTCTGTTGAGTCCATCTTCTGCTGCAGCTCAGCTGCCATCTTCTCGGCTGAAGCGAGCTGCTCCTTCAGCGTCTTGTTTTCTTTGAGAGCTTCTTTGCGAGACACCAGAGCAGCCTGCAGCTTTCGCTGAAGCTCCTTGAGCTTCGCCTCGCCGTGGTCTTCCTGTTTCTGTGGAAGCTCCGCTTCCAGCTTCAGTGTTTTCTCTTTCTCTGCCTTCAGCTCCTCCTGTAAGGAACTAATGGACAGGTCTTTCTCAGATACAGCGTCCTGCATTGAGCGAATAAGGGAGTTCTGCTCGCTGAGCTGCACGCTGAGCTCGGTTATCTCCTGGTTCTTGTTGTCCAGGAACTGCTTGAACTCTTCCACTTCCGCCTGAAGAGTTTTCATGGATGATTCTGCAGCGGCTTTGGATGCAGCTTCCATCTCCGCCTTTAGGGTTTCTATGTAGGCCTCAGCTTGGCGATACTTTTCTTGAAGTTCACTCATCTCCTCGGAGAGGGCGTGGATCTGGTTTTCCTTCTCCTTCAGTGCTTCCAGCTCTTTACCCAGTTCCTGTATCTCAGACTCCCTCAGTGACAAAACGCTATGAGCTTCCTGAAGCTGTTTCTCCAACTCGGAGTTTGCGTGCCGAACGTTTTGGATCTCGGCTTTGAGAGCTTGGAGCGACTCCTCCAGCTGCTCAGATACAGCAGGAGACGGCTCTGACGGGGGCTGATCCGGATCGCCTGCTTGTGGTTTAAATGAATCCGTCTCCGTTGCAACAAAGTCCACCCAGTCCTCCTGGACCCAGTCGTTTGTAGCGGGAGTCGGAGCCGCTTCGGGACGTGGATCTCCTCCTGAGCTCACCTTTTCCTCCAGTTCTCTCAGCTTGTCCAGGAGACCTTCCCGCTCTCCGCTCTGCGCCTCGAAGCGCTCCATCAGCTCGTTGAAGTCCTCCTTCTGTTGCTTCATCTGTTCGCGGTGGTGCCGGTCTTTCTCCTTGGCTTTGCGGATGGTTTCTTTGCGGGACTCTTGGGCTTCCTGAACCTTCTTCTGGAGTGTTTCACACTCAGCTTCCAGAGAGGTGACCTGAGACTGTAAGGCTGCATTTTCTGGAGGCTGTGGAGCCGTTCCACCTTCTTCACTCAGCTTTCTGTTCAGAGTCTCAGCCAGGACTTGATCCTGGTGGCTAAGTCTCTGCTCCAGACTCTCCACTTCCTGATCTTTAGATCTTAAATCTTCTTCTAGCTTCATGATCTTTGCCTCCAAGTTCTGGATCTCTGGTCTTTGAGGGAGACTTTCAGGAGCTTCTTCTGTCTCCGATTCATCCTTTTCTTTCCACCTTTTTGCCTCCTTCTCAAACTCGCTGACTTTCTTCATCAGCTCCTTGCGTTGCACCAGTGCTGCCTGCAGCTTCTTCTTTGTGTTTGCCAGCTGCGTTTCCACCTCTTCCTTCTCTTTCCTTAAGCCAGCCAGCTCTTCTTCCTCGCCTGATGCCTGATTTTTGTCATCTCTGACCTTCTCCAGCTCCTCTATATGCTCCTTTAGTTTACTCACTTCCCCTTTCATCTTAAACATCTCTTCCTCTGCTCCGAGCAGTTTTGTGGACATGCTGTCATTAAGCTCCAGCAGCTCCTTTTCTTTCTGGGTGAACAGAAGCTGTAGCTCTTGAATCTCCGAGTCCTTCTTTAATAACGACTCGCTGTGCAGATCTGAGGTCTGAGTTTGTTCCAACAAGCTGTTCTCCATTTCCTGAAGCCTCCTCTGTAGCTCAGAGGAAAGGAGCTCTCTGTCCTCCAGCTGAGCGCTCAGCATGCGCGCCTCACCTTCCTGCTCACACAGAACCCGCTTCGTTGTTTCCAGGTCTTCCTGTAAAGCCTCAATCTTCTGCTCCCCGCTTCTTTTTTCCTTGCTTAAAATCTCCAACTCCTCTTCTAGGAGTTTGATGTCGACTCTCTGTTTCTCCACTATGCTGCCATTTTTCAGGTTTGACTGGAGCTCTTTGGATAACCGCAGAGCTTCAGCCTCTGCCTCTTCTTTAGCCTCAGTGAGGGACCGAGCTTCCTCTTCCAGGCTCTGGATTCTCTCCTGCGACGCCTCGGCTGTCTCTCTAAGCCTCTGCAGCTCTGCCAGGAGTTCGCTGTACCTTTTCTGCAGCTCCTCAGCCAAAGCTTGAGCAAAGACAGACATGTTTGAATCGGCAGAGGAGGAACCCTGCTGGGTCAGGTGAACTTGGACCGTCTCTCTGATGACAACGGAGGACGACTCTGTTCGGACTGTGGAGGCTTCCTGCTCCATGCTGGTTGCCACCCAGGACTGACTGACGTCCTGAGACACGGAGGGCCACTCCTGAGCTCCGTCTTGGTTCATGGCCTCCAGGAGAGTCCAGCTGCTGTGGGCAACCTCTGAATCAGTGCTGGTGACCATCTCATCTGAGGAGGTTCCTTTTGATTCTTCAGGAGACTCAGACTGGGGTCCGATGAGCTCTGGGCTGCTCTCGTTATCAGCAGGAATGGAAAGGACAGAGGTGTCCTCTGCAACTAAGGTGCTTTCTTCATCTGGTGCGTCTTCAGCAGGAGCTGCTGTCGCTTCCTCATCCTCTGCTTCTCCACGCAGGGCAGCCAGCTCGCTCTCTTTTTCTGCAAGCTGCTGCTCCAGCGCCAATATGTGTGCTGCAGAAGTTAGAGACAAAACAAAAAACATGAACATTAGAGTAGAGGGAGGGAGGCTTTTAATCTGAATCGAACAACAGAATAAATTATGTTAATTGTCTCAAATTGCTTTAAATGCACGGAGCCAAAATTAGAAAGTTAATAAGTTCCTCCTCATCCAGTTTTGTTTTCTTTTATGATGAGGATGATGAAATCATTTCATCGACTCACTTTTTTTTCATGACGATAATGAGTTTTTAAAGGAATAGTACACCCAAAACATGATTAGCCTTCATTTTCTACTCACCCCCATGCTGAACAACACTCTGGAGTACTTTTTTGATAT